AGGAATGATCTTATTGCATTTAATACAGCGACAACCATCACCACCACTGTTGTTCAGCCATCTCCTCTGCCTAGTTTCCACACATTTGCTTCACCCCCAAAGAAAACTCACTGGGGAAGTTTCCATTGCTTGCTCACCTCAGCTTCCGAGAAACACTATTATTTTATGCCTCCATTAATTTCGCTGGTCCAGGTGCCTCATATAAATGAAATCACATAGAATTTGCCTGTATATGAGTGCCTCTTTCCCTCCAGTCCTCTCCGTCTTTTCAGGGTTGGGGATAGACCCCAGGGCCTCACCTGTGTTAGGCAAGTTGCATTAGAATTTCATTACAGCTGAAGCTCTTTATTGTCTGGTTCATCCAAACTCTCTTTACGCAGTCATCAGTTGACAGACATGTTGGCTGTTTCTGCTGTGTAGCTGTGCTTAAGCTTCCTCACTCCCCTTACAGTCACTACATTTTAGCTCCCCACCTTTCTACTCTTTTTCTTGTTTTTTTTAAAGATTTATTTATTTTATATGTATTAGTACACTGTTGCTGTCTTCAGACACACCAGAAGAGGGCATCAGATCCCATTAAAGATGGTTGTGAGCCACCATGTGGTTGCTGGGAATTGAACTCAGGACCTCTGGAAGAGCAGTCAGTGCTCATAACCGCTGATCCATCTCTCCAGCCCCCTCTTTTTCTTGTTTTTGTTTTGGTTTTTCGAAACAGAGTTTCTCTGTGTAGCCCTGGCTGTCCTGGAACTCATTCTGTAGACCAGGCTGGCCTCGAACTCAGTGAGATCCTCCTTCCTCTGCTTCCTGAGTGCTGGGATTAAAGGAGTGCCCCACCACTGTGTGGCCAGATGCCCGCCTTTCTTCCTTGCTTAAACTTGTCAGGCTGGCTTCTGACTTCAGAGCATTATTACAGACTGCTGCTTGGACTGCCCTTCTCCCGGATCTCACTGTGGCTTGCTGGTGATGCTCTCATCCTTGCAGCTCTGATACTGAACACTCAGAGAAGTCGTCCTTGGTATCAAAGTAGCTGAACTCCTAGTACTTTCTAGTCAGTACTCTATTGTAGTGTCTCCATAGTGCATCTCACTACCAGAAATGAAGGAGTATTTAGACCATTGTGCCATTTAAACCGTTTAGTACAGTGCTGTAGCCCATGGCCTTGTTCTCAAAGTAACTTCTGAATGCCTAAAATGTACCAATTGTATTAAAAATAGTTATCAAAAATATTTTTAAATTAGGATTTAGTAACCCATATGCTTCTCTGCTAAGTTCCAAAATAATGTTATCTATTTGCAGGCTTTAATAATTACCAGAATACAGAAACTATGATGGAGGTAGATGCTATTTTGACATATGTACAACCACTGAGATGGGAAAAAATATGTGATCTCTACTGTATAGAAAAATCACAGGTGCTACAGACATTAATTACTACAGATTATTGTCTCAGTTTATAATGGAAGAAACTGGAAATTTTCAGTTAGAGATGTATTTTGTTTTGTTTCTGTGCAAGTTTGTGGATTCTCTAAATTCTATCCATAGGCTCCTTGGAGGTCTGTAGGCTCCATGGTTAAAACTGTATGGATAAAGCTGCAGAGATGGCTCAGTGGTTAAGAGCACTGGCTGTTCTTCCAGAGGACCCAGGTTCAATTCCCAGCAACCACCTTGAGCCTTATAACTGTGTGTAACTTCAGCTTTAGGGGAGCTATTGTCATCTTCTCGCCTCCATAGATACTAGACCATGTATGTGGTGCACAGACATGCATGCAGACAAAACACCTTTACATGTTAGAAAAGAATTGCATGGATGGCCTGTGAGTCTCAAACTTATTGCCTTAAAGGGGAAAAGATTAATTGTAGTGATGAGAAAGGATAGAGTCTGCCACAGAAGAAAGTACTAGAAGAAAGCTGTCTTCTGAAGCGCTCCATGGAACTAGTGGGTGGGTCATACAGAAACATCCTCTTGGGAAGGGCATGAGAAAAGTAAAGAAAGAAAGAAACAGATGGTTTCTTTGCCCCAGAATGGAGTTCAGTAAAGAAAGCAACATGTGGTGAAGAGATAGCCACTGAGGGCAGATCCACTATGGGGACAGAGGTGAGGGAACTCAGAGAGTAGGTAGAATCCTTACTGTATGCCAGACAGCAGGCCAGACACTAGCGATACAAAGCATACTGAGACAAAGATGAGTCACCCATCTTTCATATCTCATTAAACCCAATCCTGGTGGAACTTTCGCTGGTTTATGCACCATTTCAGAGACTCTGAGGGCCGGAAGCAGTGGGAATAAGGTGAACATGGGGTTTCAGGTATTCAAGACGAAGGAAGCTGAGAAAAAAATCTGGTCTTCTGTTTTCCCTGCCCCTTCATGTGGAGCAAAAACTGAAGTAAAAGAGAAGTTATGTAATAGAAGAAAGCAAAGCCCATGCCCTGATCATATCATTCAAACCAGCTACCCAGCTAAAAATTAGCTATGTCTGAGGGATGCATCCTCTACTCTCACTATGAATTCTTCAGGAGCCTTCTAAGACTCTTTGCTACCTAAGGGATCATTTGTGCTCCAAAACACCCTCAACTGGAGAAGGGGGAATCAAAGAAATAAAGAATAAATGGTATTTTTAGATTTGTTTTTCATTTGGGGTGCCAGAGATACCCTGCACCTGGGTCTCTTCCTGTCCTCGGTTGGTTCTCAGGATGAAGGATGCTGTGGTTCTTTTTTTAAAATGCTGCTTTCTTCCTCACTCCTTGGGGGCTCTTTCACAAAGACTCATGTAGGGAGCTGCTGGAGGTGGGAGGTGTTGGCTGGGCTCGTGTCTCCCTTTGATCATTTTCTTCTGGCAATAGACTCTGAAAACTCCCTGCCCTGGGCTGACAGAATGAATCTCTTCCTCCCTTGAAGGGAAGCAGCATCTCCAGTGGAGAGACATGCAAACTGAGGCAATGAGAAGAGATCAGGGCTGAAACGGAAATGGCCTACTTAGAGCTGAAAGATGATGTTGGGGTCATGGGTGAAGCAGAGGCCTGCAAGATGTCTCAGTGGGTAAAGATGTTTGCCACTAAACTGGTCACCTGAGGTCCATTCTTAGATCTCTCATGGTGAAAAGAGAGAACTGACTCTCACGAGTTGTCCTGTGACTTTCACGCTTATGCAGTGGCACATACATCTACACACATATACAGTAAATAAGTATATTTAAATTAAAAAAAAAGGAAGGAAGGATGAGACTGCCAGCACAATTGGGGTGGCTTCCGTGCAGACAGGGCAAGGGAGAAAGGAATTTCCAGGAAGGCCCTGCAAAGGAAGAAGGAGTGAGCTGACGATTCTTTTTTGAAGTTTTTTTAAATTAGCAAATATTAATCATAGATGATAATGGGTTTTATTATGACACTTTTGTGCATGTACATAGTATTTTTTTTTATTATATCCACTCCCCATTACCCTCTCTGGTCCCCTTTCCACTGATCTCCTTCCTTTTCCCAAGTAGCCTCTCTTTTACTTTTATTTATATAAGTAGAGGTATTTTCATAATCACATTTTTATTTATTTGTATGTGTATACATGCATGTGTGCATGTGTATACATACCATGGTGCATGTGTAAACATCAGAGGGCAAGAATGCGAGAGAGAAACTGGAGAGAAAACCTCCAGTTTTCTATCATGGGTACCCTGGGAATCAAACTCAGGTCCTTAGGCTTGAAGGCAGATGCCCTCACCCACTGAGCCACCTCAGCAGCTCCCTCTTCTACTTTCATGCCTTTGTATATGTGCACAGGCAAATAAGTTTAATTAGGGCTACCTATAGGAGCATGGATAAGGGATTAGTTATAGGCAACTCACCAGTGGGTACACTACTGAAGAAAATTCATTCACTCCCTTAGCAACTACTAACTGCCTATACACTCGCTAAACAATAGACTCACTATTGTTTTAGGAGGCTTTGACGAATCAGGTATGCTGGTACACACATGTAATTCTAGTATTCAGGAAGCTGTGACAGAAGGTTCATGAGTTTGAGGCCAGCTTAAGCTACATGAGTTCCCTGCCAGCTTAGGCTATGCAGCAAGACATTGTCTCAAAAATAAACAGATTGAACTATGTACATGGTGGGTCGTGCCTTTATTCCTGGCACTGGGGAGGTAGAAATAGGCAGATCTCTGTGAGTTTGGGGCCATCCTGGTATACATAGCAAGTTCCAAGACAGCCAGGGCTATAATGAAACCCTGTATCAAAAATGAATGAATGAATGAATGTGTCTTGTTGAGTCTTGGAAGCTGCCTGGAGGAGCTTTGTATGGATACTTAGTGAGCTGGGGTTCTTGTGTAGATGATATGGGGGAAGTATCTTTATCAAATTTTGTCTGGGTGCTTAGATGAGAAGTAGAAAAATACGTGGCTATAGAGGTTGCTAAGTGGGGTGCTCCACTCATTGCTGCAAGAATGAGCAAAGATCCCACACATAATTTCCTCCGGGTGGATCACAGAGAGGTCTTGTGTACATAGCTCTGGTCCAAAAGCATTATGTGAGAAGATGCAGGAAGCCTCTAATGGGCTTAGATCGAGAGCCTAATGTGGAGTAAGGTCCCAACTACAGATGCCACCAGTGGCTTCCACATTGCCTCAGGGCCCATGGATCTGAGAGAACAGTAACTCCTGGGAAGCAGCAGTGAGCAAGCCAATGCCATGTATCTATATTTTTACAATGCTGGGTCACAGCAGGGATTTAGGGAATACATAGAGAAGGCTTAGGAAGGATGTAGGCATTAAATTGAGCCCCAATGTATACAAAGACAGGATTGGAATGAAGGAAGAGAAATGGTCATTCCACATTGAAGAAGTAAGTTGGGCTCATGTGTGCACCAAGAAGTCAACCAAAGCTGACAGTAGAAGAGATGGAGAAGCCAGAGTAGATGAGGGAAAGTACACAGGACACTTTGCATTTCTAACTAGGACTGACTGTCAAAACCCAAACATTTGAAGCCATTTCTCTTCTCTGTGCTCCAGCTACAAGCCCATCGTGGAATTCATTGACGCTCAGTTTGAGGCCTACCTACAGGAAGAGCTGAAGATCCGGAGAGTACTGCACTCCTACCATGACTCCCGAATCCATGTCTGCTTGTATTTCATTGCCCCAACAGGACATTCACTTAAGTCTCTGGACCTAGTAACCATGAAGAAGCTGGACAGTAAGGTATGAGGCAGGAGCTGGGGTTGCCCAAGCTGGACTCTTACTGATCTAATACACATTGGATACTGGATTCCAGTAGAGTTTTTTGTTGTTTTTGTGGGGTTTGGGGGGTTTTTTGTATGTTTGTTGTTTGGTTTTTGGTTTTTTTGAGACAGGGTTTCTCTGTGTAGCCCTGGCTGTCCTGGAACTCACTCTGTAGACCAGGCTGGCCTCGAACTCAGAAATCCACCTGCCTCTGCCTCCCAAGTGCTGGGATTAAAGGCGTGTGCCACCACTGCTAAGCTCCAGCAAAAGTTTTATGGAATCCTAATCTAATCCTTTGTTACTTTCCTCCATAAAGATGATATTACAGATTCTGCATTTGTGTCATATGCTGTGTCATCTGGATTCCTAGTATTACGAATTCTTCCACCCTATCTGTTTTGGAAATAAAGATGGTTACAAGCAAGATGGCTGTTCAAGGCTAAGTGCTAAGTTTGGCAATGGAAAGTGCTTCTCTTTCCTTAAAAACTTAGATTCCTTTTATCTTATGTTTTTTGAGAATTTTACCTGTATGTATACACACTTGGTGCTGAAGGAGTCCAGAAGATGTCGAACTCCCTCGAACTGGTGTTAGGGATGGTTGTGAGCCAACAAGTGAGTGCTGGAAAACAAACCTGGGTCTTCTGCAAGAGCAACGAGTGCTTTAAACCGCTAAACCGTCTCTCCAGCCATGTGCCAGGCCTAGATTCAATTCCCAGTGTCATAACAACAAAGCAAATTGAACATTGGATTTTTTTGTTTGGGTTTTGTTTTTTGTTTGTTTGTTTGTTTGTTTTTGTTTTTTGAGACAGGGTTTCTCTGTATAGTCCTGGTTGTCCTGGAACTCACTCTGCAGACCAGGCTGGCCTTGAACTCAGAAATCCACCTGCCTTTGCCTCCCAAGTGCTAGGACTAAAGGCGTGTACCACCACCACCCGGCAAACATTGGATTTTTTTTTTTTTTTTTGTTTTTTTCGAGGCAGGGTTTCTCTGTATAGGAACATTGGATTTTTTAAAAAGCCTAATTACTATAGTTTTTCTTTCCTAGCATTTGGCATGCATCAAGCACTATGTATTTATACATGTTACTTCATCTTTCTTTTTTTCCATTTATATGTGTTATATGTTGTTTATGCATGTTCAAATATATGCATATTGCATGTATGCAGGTACACGTGTGTAGGTGCCTATGCATGTGGGTGCTTATACATGTGGAGACTAAAGATTGATATCAGAATCATCCCATCATCTCCCTTTCACCTTGTTCATTGAGGCCAAGTCTCAGCCACGCCAGAATTCAGCCATATGGCTAATATTGCTAAGTTAGCTTGCCCTGGGAATCCCGTCTCTGCCTTCTGAGGCTGGATTATAGGAAGACTACCATGCCCATCTGATGTTTTTGGGTTCTCAGGATCCTAATGCAGAAAGAGCTTAGCCAATGGAACATGCTCCTTTTTGTTTGTTTGATTAACAAAAAAAATGTTTTATTATATTTTTGTAATTTTTAAATTTTTATAGGCAGGTAGTGGCGGTGCATACCGTTCATCCAGCACTTGGGAGGCAGAGGCAGACAGATTTCTGAGTTCGAGGCCAGCCTGGTCTACAGAGTGAGTTCCAGGACAGCCAGGGCTACACAGAGAAACCCTGTCTTGAAAAAAACAAAAAAAAATTATTTACTTTTTAATCAAAAACATTTATGCAATATATTCTGATGAGGGGTTTCCCCTCCCCAAATTCCTCCCAGATCCTCACCACCCAACTTCATGTACTTTCTGTCTCTCTTGTTGAAAAAAAAAACTGAAAGAAATTTCATGAAAACAAAAACCAAATATATATAAGTAAAAGACCAATAAGGGAAAAAAAAAGCCCAAACAAAGCAATATGAGACAAAGCATCCACAAAAACACCATTGAGTTCACTTTGTGTTGGCCATCTACTGCTGGGCATGGGGCTTATCCTGAAGTTAATATACTCAGGAAGACTTAATTAGAAAAAAAACTAATTTTTCCTTTGCAAGTAGGTACCAATTATAGACAGCTTTTTGGTTAAAGACGGAGCCTGTGTTTACATCCTCTCTCTCAGCAACTGGATTCCTGTGGCTTGAACCTGTTCAGGCCCTGTGCATGCTGCCAAGCTGCCACAGTCTCTGTGAGTTGATAACAGCATCAGTCCCATTGCGTCTAGAAGATGCTGTTTCCTTGAAGTCATTCATCCCATCTGGTTCTTACAGTCTTCCACCTCCTCTTCCACATAGATTTCTAAGTCCTAAGAGAAGAAGTTTGATGAAGACATCTATCTCATTTAGGACTGAATGCTCCAAAGTCTCACTTTCTGCACATTGTCCAGTTGTGGGTCTCTGTGTTAGTTCTCATCTACTGTAAGAAGAAGCTTCTTTGATAAAGGTTGAACAAGGCACTGATCTATGAATTTAGCAGAATGATGTTAGGAGTCATTTTATGCAATGTTGTTTGAGCAGAATTGTAATATTTGGTTTTCTCCTAGGCCCATGCCCTATCCAGTCTCAGGTCTAGCACTGTCAAGCATGGGTTCCATCTCATGGAGTAAACCTTAAATCCATCTAGATGGTAATTGGTTACTTCCACAGTGCTTGTGCCAGTGTATTATATTAGCATCTTACTCAGGTTGGTGACCACTGTAGGTTACAGGCTTTGTAGCTGGGTGGGTGATTGTCTTTCTCCTTTAGTAGTGTACAAAGTATATTCCAGTACCATGGACACTAGTCAGTAGGGGTGAAGGTCCTAATTTGCATGCTCAACTCCTCAGTGTTTGATGAGAATGTGTGTTGTCTCCAGCAATAGGGACTGGGCCCTGTTTTTGTCCTTCTGATAATCTAGTGTAGTCAGGTACTGTTAGTCACATTTTACACATGAGATCACTGAGGCGTGGAAAGGCAAATTGCTTGTTCAAAGTCAGACAACTTGTTTTTTTTTTAATTTTTATTTATTTATTATATGTAAGTACACTGTAGCTGTCTTCAGACAACCCACAAGAGGGCATCAGATATCATTACAGATGGTTGTTAGCCACCATGTGGTTGCTGGGATTTGAACTCATGACCTCTGGAAGAGCAGTCAGTGCTCTTAACCACTGAGCCATCTCACCAGCCCGTCAGACAACTTGTAATGAAGCTGAGATTTGGCTTTAGCTCTCTAACTGCAACTTATTTCAGTATACAAAAGTCTAATTTACATGTAGTCATTTGGTAGCATAGCCATTATAAAAGCTGAATGTTAGCTATAATCAGAAGAAGAGTAGTGTTTTTCCATTTTTGCAGCAATGAGCTCACTGCTCATGAAGAATAGGCTGCTCCCAAAATGTCTCCATGCCCAACCTGCCACTGTATAGGGCAGCAGTGAGCCATGTGGTGGGCAGTCTGGTGGGTGGGCTGCATTAAGTAAGCAGTTTTGGCTCATGTTTATTGTGTACCAATGAGAACTTGGACAAAAAATGACAAAGAGAATTAGATTTTCCTGTGGTTACACATTGGCAAAGAGTCTGATCTCTTGACACCTCCGCACCCCCAAAAGACATCAAAGAAGATAACTGCAAGGCCTGGTCTTGGACCAGCATCCTAAGCTATATGGTATGAGATTTGGGGGGACTTGGAAAGTTCAAAAGAGACAGGACTTCTTCAGTTCCTGATCTCCCACACTCCTTTTAGAACACCAGGCCTGAGCACCATTCATACCACCCAATGGGATCTATGAGCAAGAATGACTCCATTCTTTGCAGGACTATGAGCTTTAGTGTGCTGTCTCCACAAACCACGCCCATGTCAGATTCCTTTACTTTTGGCAATAAAACCTTTCTCCCATCCTAGAGGGATTTCAAGGATCATGGTTCAGGCAGGTTGAACTTTGTGCTTGCACTGGGCCTTTCTCTTGCTATTTGAAATTGGGCATGTTCACACCTGCTTTCTTTACCCCAAAACAAGTCCTCCACCTCAAGCATTAGTAACTTGTGTGGGGTGCGTTAGGAGGTGGGGTGGTGAGACAGGATCTCATGAAGCTTAAGGCTAACCTCAAACCCTCTATGTAGCTGAAGATGACATTGAGTTGACCCTCTTGCCTCCACCTCTCTCCAGTGCTGGGATTATAGGTGGAGCTGCGGATGGAACTAAGCTAGCATCCTACCAACTGAGCTCTTTCCCCAGCCTCAGTCTACCATTCTGGCATAAATTTCATGTCAAATTGGTAACACTGGTTCTTCTGTGCTTAATTAGCTGCTCCAAGTAAGAGAGCCACAGGTCCATCGTCCCCAAATTCTCTTCCTGCTTCTTTTTTGATACCTCCCATGTGGATCCATGGTATATCTGGCTGGGGAGAGCCTCAGTTGAATGAGTTGGGACAATTTATTGTTACCAACTAATGTCCACCTGTCACCTTGTCAACCACGGATTCCCTGCCATCTTTCTTCTTTGAATTACTCTAGGGATAACCTTGATTTCAAGGTAGATAGCTCATAGTAGTTACTAGCTTTGGGATAAGGCTGACTTGGATTTGAATTTTAGTTCGGCTATTTATTTGCCCTGTGGCCTTAGACAAGTTATTTAACCTCTGTGTGGTTCAATTTCACATTGGTAAAATTCTAGTAAAAACACATTCTAGAAAAGTTATTGTTAAGATTATACTAAGCCATAGCCAGTGGCCAATGCATAGTAAGTACTCATTATTTTTTATTATATTGTTGTTTGGCCAAAGGTGTAGAGTGCTGGACCTATTTGCTGAGCTTTCCCCTCTGGGCGCTAATGGGAGCCCTAGGTTATGCAGTTATCAGTTGCTAGTTAACAACAGTTAACTACAGTTAGCTATCAACAACAGTTAATCCCACTTTGTTCCTCTTTCTCCTAGGTAAACATCATTCCCATCATTGCCAAATCAGATGCCATTTCTAAGAGTGAGCTGGCAAAGTTCAAGATCAAAATCACCAGTGAACTTGTCAGCAACGGAGTCCAGATTTATCAGTTCCCCACAGATGATGAGTCGGTGGCCGAGATCAATGGAACCATGAATGTGAGTTGGGAGCACAGGGTTCACCTTTCTAGTCTTGTGTTCTTATGATCAGTCTGTGACAAGAAGCAGTGAAATACCTTTGTCATCCATCTTGGTGTGGTAACTCTTGAGTACCAAAGTCTCAGGTATTGACGACAGAGGATCCAGAGCTTAAATAGTTTCTGTTTCTACTAATGGCTGTTGCAAAGCCTCAGCAACACATATTAGTAATCAGGGAAAGGGCTGACTCTAGGCTAAGTAGAGAGCTGGGAATCCAGACCTCTCTTTCTGCTCTCCTCCTCCTCTGTGGCTCATGTATGTGTTCATATGTGTGGGCAAGTATATGTTCATGTGTGTGGAGACATGAGGCTGATATTGGAGGTCTTCCTCAATCACTGTCCACTGTATTTATTGTGGTAGGGTCTCATGCTGAAACCAGAGCTCAATAATACCTCATTGTCTCTGCTGGCCAATGAGCCCTGGGGCTCCCCTCCTTCTGCCTTCAAAAGTACTAGGATTACAGGTAGCTGCTGTGCCTCAGCAACTTTTCTGTGAGTGATGAGGATCTGAACTCACGTCCTCGAGATTACCAGGCAAGCGCTTTATCCACTGTGCTATCCCTACAACCCTCAAACCACCTTTTCAACAGCCGTCATATCTAAGCCAGACTAGACTGCAAGAAAGGCATACCTTGTTTGTTGCTGATCCCAACAATTCTGGAACAGTGAGTGGGTCCAGCAAAAGACATAAAGGCTGAAAAAGTTGGTTGGCCTCAGAGGATGGGCTATTGTCCAAGAATTAATCCCTGTAGTCAAGGAGGAACAATAAAAAAATAGCCTCCAATTTTGTTGGCAACCACAAGTGATTTTTTTAAAATATATTTTATTTATTTTTATTTTATTTGTATGAGTGTTTTGCCTGTGTGTAAGGAGACCATGTGTGTACAATCTGCAGGGAGGCCAGAACCCCAGCAACTGGAGTTACAGATGGTGGTGAGCTGCCTTATGGGTGCTGAGACTCAAACCTGGGTCCTCTGCAAGGGCAGAAAGTGCTCTTAACAACTGAGCCATCTTTCCAGATCCAGTGATTTTATTTTTAAGCATCAAGGTTATGCTTTGCCTTATTAAGTATGAATGAATTTATAAAACGAGCCCTCTTTCCTCCCCACCCCCAGAGGAGTGAGTAATAAAGAAGGCAGAGAGTCAAACACTCCTCGTGCTTCTTTACAATGTGTTGCTGCTGTTGCTGTGAAGGTTTCAATGTTGTGATTTCCAGGAGACAGCTAATAGCTTTCAGCAAGCCTCTGCTTCGGGAACAGATTTCTTTTTCTCTATTGAGAGGCATCAGTTTTTCCTAATGACATAATGTCAGGGGACAGCCAAACTCAGGAAAGCTTTGTAATAAAAGCCATTTTTAGCAAACTTTTCCTGCTGCTGATGCCCTCTAAGTTATCATTACAACATCAGCTGCCACCTCCTATGAATTGGCCAATGAATTAGCATAGCCAGGCAGCAAGTCACTGTCTAGCCTGACGTCCTGCCCATCAGCACAGCCCACCCGAGACAGGTTTATTAGTAGAAGCCCTTCATCAGCCTTGACAAGTTTGACTTAACTGACTCAAGTCTGCATGCCTTGTGGTAGGTGGAGTTGTGTTCTCTGTGACCTGCAGTGGGTATGGATAAAAATTACAAGCACAAAATAGTGCCATCTTCTCCAGGAGTCAGGCCTTCTGGATGGAAATGAGGGACTGTTAGGATGAGAAAACTGGAAAAGGTGCCTAGCCTGCAGAGAAATGGGAAGTGCTTCGTGGGTATAGCTTGCACTGATGTCTGGAAGCATTTAGTCACCTCAAGCAAGACCTTAGTCCCTGTAGATAGCTTCTGAACTCATTTTCCCTGAGACATCAAGCCGTGTTCATCCTTGTGGTTTGCTTTGCTAGGAACAAATAGGCCTGCTAAGTTCTCAGCGATATGAAGGTGTCCCATGAATCTATTGTCACTGCATTATGGTTTAAGAGTGACAATCACCCTTTCTCTGTTCTCATCTCAAATCTGGCATCCTGCTCAGCCCAGGGTCTATCCAGCCTCAGAGTTGGAAACTGTGAGGCGGTAGCTCCTGTGTGGGCGTGGGTCCTGTTGGGCTGAATTGTGGATCCTGTGTGTCTGCCGCCCCAGGCGGCTGGAACCGCAGCTCAGGGAGCAGAAACGTGGGAATTTGACTGAGTTCACTCCATGCAGCGCCAGGCAGATGCTGGGCTGAGAAGCCGAGGGGCTCTGCCTGGGTGTGGAAAGGTCTCAGCCTGAAGTCCCACTGGGACTGAGATGCAAGGGCATATGGGCTGGTCCAGCCGCAGCCGAGAGGGGCGAGTGAGAGAAGCTCCGGCAGCCCCCCGTGGAGTAGAGACTCTTGGTCACAGTGACTAGCTTGGCTGGGTCATGGCTGGCTCGGCTAGCTTGCTTGAGTTGGCAAGCCTCCGTGGCTGGAACACAGAGAAGTCCTCTACAGGAGATTAGACAGCAGCTCGGTAAATCGAAGACCCCCTCCATGGTTCTCCACAGCAGGCCCCAACGACATGAGGAAGTCCATGGTTTTAAAAGGTTTATTGTCATGGCGAAAAGTGGATATAGCTGTACCCCGTGTCCTCAGGGCAGGCCTTTGATTAAATACTGTTTGTAAGGAGGAGGGTCTTGGAATGAATACTTAATTGGCTATGCCCTCTGGCCTTTAGGTACCTCATTAATATGGAGATCTCTTGAGGCTCTGTGGCCTGTAGTCACGCCCTCTACCTGTGGAGGGGCTGGTAGGGGCGTTTCCCTATGTGACTGAAAAGGCGCTGATCAATGGAGATCTTTGGCCTCTTGTCAGGAGCCTGGAGTCTGGGACCATGGCGAAATGTATGCCATTCCTTGCAGGGATACCTGTTGGGTCTCCGGCCATCTCTAGCCAGTATTCAACCAGAAACCAAGCTATCCTTTCACGGTCCCACAGGAAACTTGCCCGTGCTATGAAACAACCGATCTCAAGTATGCTGCTGTGGCAGAGGAGAGCTTATGAGTCCCATGACACTCATAACAGTCTGTAGCTCATCACTGCTTCACTTTGAGTAACTAAATTAAAAGCTAGTTGTGGCACTTCATGCCTGTGAGCGCAGTACTGACGCAGAAGGATTACATGTTTGAGTCTGGCCTAGGCTACATTTAACAAGACCTTACCTCCGAAAGAAAAGAAAAGTAAGCTAATTCTTGGGGGTTCAGGGTCACCCCCCTAAGTAGTATTGCTCAGTATTCATTCCCTTGCATTTCATCATGCTCTTTTGAATGGGAAGGGAGGAGAACGGGTGCCTTACAGCTAGAATGCTTGGACTTCGGCATATCTGTGGAAGGGGCCTATATGGGAAGCCTTTGTGTTCTGTATGCTGATTGAGAAACAGGAGGGAGGAGTCAGTGCTATAATAAACACAGGAGTGCTTTGCCCACCTGCCACCACTCCAACTGTATCAAAGTCTGTAGAGAAAACATGCAGTGGCATACAGAGATGGGGAGGGGGTGCTTGGGTGCTATGAAGACCAGGTGCTAGCCTTTCGTTTCCAGATATGGTTCCAGATCCTCAGCCTTGCCCACTGCACAGCCAGTTGTCATGGGAAATAGAAGAGGCAGAAGATATATATATATATTTTGAGACGATTACATAGCTGTCCTGTTATTCCCAAGTATAATATATTTATTCAAGGGCTGGAGAGATGGCTCAGCAGTTAAGAGCACTGTCTGCTCTGCCAGAGGTCCTGAGTTCAATTCCCAACAACCACATGGTGGCTCACAACCATCTGTAATGGGATCTGATGCCCTCTTCTGGTGTGTCTGAAGACAGTGACAGTGTACTCATATACATAAAATGAATAAATAAATCTTTTTTTTTTTTAAAGATAATCATGCGAGAGCATGCCTGGCCTCACCCTTGGCTTTTGGGTGGCTCTAGAAAACATTATTTCAGATTGTGGAGCAGGAGATGGAGAAGCTGAGGGAGAGGGAGTCAGTCTGCTGCATGCTATTTTCAACTGATGCTAGGATTGATCTCAAAGCTGTAGACCTCAAGTCTCAAAATTATCACATTGTTTAAATTAATTCCTTATTTTGAGACACGGTTTCAGTATGTAGCCAAGGCTGTTCTTAAACTTGTGACCTTCTTGCCTCAGCTTCCTGATTACTGGCATTATAGGATGGAGTCACCATGCCCAGCTTATTATTTAAATGCAGTGTTATTGGTCTGGCAGAATGACACACCTATAATCTCAGCACTCGGGAGGTAGAGGCAGGAAGAGCAGAAGTTTAAAGTTATCCTCAACAACACAAAGAGCTGGATGATAGCCTGAACTACATGAGACCCTATGTCAAAAAATAGATAAATAGGGCTGGAGAGATGGCTCAGCGGTTAAGAGCACTGACTGCTCTTCCAGAGGTCCTGAGTTCAATTCTCAGCCCCACATGGTGGCTCACAACCATCTGCAGTGGGGTCTGATGTCCTCTTCTGGTGTGTCTGAAGAGAGCAATGGTGTACTCATATACATAAAATAAATCATTAAAAATAAGTAAAAAAAAACAATAATGTGCCGTGGGGTGGTGGCGCAAGCCTTTAATCCCAGCACTTGGGAGGCAGAGGCAGGTGGATTTCTGAGTTCAAGGCTAGCCTGGTCTACAGAGTGAGTTCCAGGACAGCCAGGGCTATACAGAGAAACCCTGTCTCAAAAATAAATAAATAAATGAATGAATGAATGAATAAATGAATAAATAAATAAATAATAAAACAATAATGTAATGGTATTCTTAGAATAGCTCAAACTGTAGCTAGGGGTTTAAGAACAGGCCCAAAACTTGATTAACCCCAGTTCATTGTCCATTTGTTGGGCACTGGGTTTGATTCCCACAGTAAGGGCATCTGATTGGCAAACTGGATCACAGGGAGGCTATAGGCTCAAGCCTGTCCTTTCCCTTTACTCAGCAATGGTACCCCCATTGTTTCCATGTACTTTTGTTGGAATGAACAATGGTATTTGAGAGAATTAGGTGTCAGTCTTGTTTAGCCACTAGCCTGAAATGGGAGCAAGTAGAACCAGCCTCATAACTAGGAAACTCTGTCAACCCTGGGAAAAAACTCAGGCCAGTCAGTATACATCACCAGAAAAGATCCTGGTGGAATTTCATAGCCCAAAGGAAAAAAAAAAAAAAACCTAGAAAACCACCCTTCCAGTCTTCAAAGCGTAATCCATGTGGTTGTGCAAGGATAGAATAAGCCATGTAGGTTGGATCATCAAATAACTTTCAAGTGGACCAAGAGGAGTTCAAGGTAGACATGAAGCCAGAAAGGTAATGCTTTGATTTGAAAGTGTTGCCCATGTGATAGTATTAGGAGATGCAGGGCCTGAAGATGCAGCCTTATAATCTTAGCCACCCTGCCGGCTGAGGCAAGAGGATCACATGCTGAAGATGTGCTTAGAGTGAGTTCCTAGCCTGGGCAATGTTGTGAGACCCTGTCTCAAAACAAAAACTAGAAAAAGAAGGCTGTGAGTATACAGCTCAGTGGTATAGCATGTGTCTGACATATACAAGGCCCTGAGTTCAATTCCTAGGATTGGTGGTTTTTTAAAGAGAGGGGAACTAGAGAAACGGCTCGGAGCCTAAAAGCACATACTACCCTTCCAGAGAATCTTAGTCCCATTCCCAATACCCACATAAGGGTGACTCACAACCTCCTGTAACTTCAGCTCCAGGGGATTTAACCCTTTCTTCTGGCTTCTGTGTACACCTGCCCTCACATGTACACACACCCACATACAGACATACACAATTAAAAATAAATCTCTTTTCAAAAGAAGAGAGATTGGGGGTGGGGAATCTGGTGGTGGTGACACACAGCATGACTTTAATCCCAGCACTCAGGAGGCAGAGGTGGAGACACATGGCTCTTTATGAGTTCAAAGCCAGTCTGTTCTACAAAGTGAGTTCCAGGACAGCTAGGTCTGTTACACAGAGGAACCATATCTCAAAACAAACAAACAACGGCAACAAAAACCAAACAAGAAAAGGAGTCAGAGCCAGGGACGGGGAGATTGGACCTTTATGTTTAGATAAGCCATAAAGGCTGTTCCCTTGCTAGTAGGATTGAGGGTCATATAAAATAGGCTTCATGCAGAATTTAGTTAGCTTTATTGTCCACCTGCAATGGGAAGATGTAAAAATGCTGGGCAGTATTGGCGCACGCCTTTAATCCCAGCACTTGAGAGGCAGAGGCAGGTGGATTTCTGAGTTGGAGGCCAGCCTGGTCTACAGAGTAAGTTCCAGGACAGCCAGAGATATACAGAGAAACCCTATCTCGAAAAACCAGAAAAAAAAATGTAAAAAGAAAACTCTCGTCAGACACCCAAATGTGCTACTACTTTGAGCATAGATGGTCAGCCTCTGGAACTATAGATAGAAAGTCCACTGAAATGTTCTTTATAAATTACTTAGCCTCGGGTATCTTTTTTGTAGTTGTACAAAATGGACTAAGTAGTGAATCTGGGGCCAGACTCCCAAGACAAGCCCGAGGCTGTGTGTTGTAATAGCACTCTGCACCTGGAAGATCTCATATCTGCTGTCCCTCATCAGACATTTAGGTAGAATTACACAAGGTCCCTGGAAGATCTCATATCTTGGTGTCCCTCATCAGATGCTTAGGTAGAATTACACAAGGTCCCTTTATCAATCTGCTCATCATGTGTCAGCAGGGGCCTCGTCTTGCAACGATTAAGTGTCTTCTCCCTGGAGCCACATGTTTAAACACCACTTGTCAACTTCCTGCAGAAACCTAAAGTAGGGAGGGCAGGGGAGAAAGTCTGGCCTCCCTTTTGAGAGGTATCATGGGTAGGACCTGGTAGTATGATTGAAAGTTAAAACTATCTTGCTTGATTCCATTCTGGTTGTCATAGCCATATGTCTTTCAAGAACAGCTGATTTGCAGTGACTCCTAGTCTGCTGTGCTTAGTTGACTTCTAGACGATGCTCTTTATTTAGCCAGGATACAGAATATAAAGCAACCTAGGTGGCTTGGGAAGGCTGGCAGCCAAAGTGTGGTGGCCTCCCTGATTCCTGCAAAGACCTAGCCTGGGAGTTCAGTACATGCATGACTCCTTTAAGTAGTCTGTCCTGGCTCCCTCCAATAATATAGAAGGCCCTTGGAAATGATATTTGCCTGTACTTTCCAGAAACATCTTTGACGCCAGTTGCAGAGAAGTGGTCTGTGGGCGGTTTTAAGAGGCCTCAGAATTCAGTTTGGTGTGGGCTGTGCATTCGGGAATAGTCAGAAAGCTAGAGGAATCAAATGACAGGAGTTTGTGGAAGAGAGGAAGCGAGTGACCCTATCATTCTAGCAGTGTCCCTTGATGACAAAATAACAGGCCTAAGGGAAGACTGGTGTTTCCTATGCTTTTATTTTCTTGGTATTTTCTTTCTTCCTGAGCCTAGAGAAGTCCCTCCCACTTCACACACGGTCCCTCCTCCATCACTTTAGAGCTGAGAGCCCAGAATGCAAGCAGCTGATGATACAACATGGTTTTTCTTCTCACCTCCTCCCTCAGTCTAGCCCTCTGCAGCCACTGCCCCTCATCCCTCCTGCAAACACCAAGCTCATGCCCCGTTAGTCCTGTTCTCTACTCCAAAGAGTATTATGAAGTAATTGCTATTTGCCCTTGGTCGCATACTATCTAACAGGATTTCAAGTATGTAATTTAGGCTTCCTCAACAGGAGTTAAAGCTTCCAAAGTGCAAGGAAGTGTATCTTCTACTTCTTTATGTCCCTTATAGTGCACCATCAGTGCTTGTGGGTGAAGACTTGGTGACTTGGCCTTGAGACTCACGGGATCAGTGAACTCTTGTCTTGGCAAGAATAACAACAGTCCATCTTAGTGGTTTTAGGCTGTGCTCTTATACTCTAGGAAGACAGTAGTGATGCCAGCAGCTGTATGCAACTCCTTCTGATGCTTATCTACCCCCAGCCCTCAGCAACTGTGACTGTGGCTAAAGGTTGCTAGGCCATATATCTACTCATGTTTCTGCTCTGTTCCCTATCATAAATTCCAGAGCAGAGAAGTAAGAACTAGGCCTCTTATCCCTGTATGGCTGTGGAGCTCTTGAGCTTAATGGATGCCTCTCAATGCTGACACAGTCAGTGACGTTGCAGAGGGAGCATTCAAAGGCCTGGAGATGAATAGCAGTTGCATCGTGGTGTACTTGATGCCTTTCTTCTGGAGTTCTGAGTGCTTATTTGCCTCTGTTCCAGGCCCACCTGCCGTTTGCTGTTGTTGGCAGCACAGAAGAAGTGAAGATTGGCAACAAGATGATGTGGGCTCGGCAGTATCCTTGGGGGACTGTTCAGGGTGAGTCTCCTGCAGATGGGCTGTGCTCAGAGAGCCCCTCCTCTGTGTTTCTGCTGCCCCTGCCATGATATGACAAGTTCCTAGCTTGTCCCCAGCCTCTACTACTCAGTTTAGGTCTCAAACAGCCATAGGGGGTCACTAGCAGCAAGCTCTGGCCCAGTGACTGGATTCTATGATGTGAGCAGACTCCCTTTGGCTTTAATGAAGAAAGTACTCCCTTGTAACCACCTCCAAACACAACAAAAAGACAAATGGATTTGGCACAGCGAAGAAAGGACTATACAAGTGAGAGTGTCCCTAAGAGAGGCACAAGAATGTTCACAACAGAGAATAATAATGATACGTTATTACAAACAATGAGGTGTCGATAAAAATAGACTTGGATAATTTGTGAAATGGTCATATCATGGGATCTCAGACAGAGTTGAAAATGGATGAATTATAGCTACATCTGCGTGACTGGATCTCAGAAACACAACACTGAGCTAAATAAAATCACACAGCATGCATATGATAGGTTTCTGTTTGTATGAATTCTAGAAGTAAGCTAAAATAACATGCTATATATTTTTTATGAATTTATGTACAAGTAATGAATGATAAAACCATTTTAAAACACACACACCACACACTCGCCACAAAATATAAATAAAAATAATTCTTTAAAAACAGGACTAGTGCAATGGCTTGTAGGGGAGGGATAAAGGCATTTTCCTCCAAGCCTGCTGACCTGAGTCTGATCCCCAGAGGCCACACAGTGGAAGGAAAGAGCTGACATCTGACCTTCACACGAGTTCACACATACACACCCACACCCTCTCACACTTAAATTAAAAATAAAAAATACACAAATGGATGATAAACCCAAAGTCAAGATCGCGCTAACATTTCATTGCCAGAGGGGTCAGGGAATAGAGAGAGGGATGTGATATCAAAAAGAGACCAGCAGGGCCTTGCAAGGTACCAACAACATTACCTTCAGTTGTAGAGATATTTAAAAATTTAAAATTCTTTAAATTGCACATACCTATTTCATGGATTCATACACACACACATACACACATATATACACATATACATACATATATGATTATTTCATAATTTTAAAGGTTGGATATATATTACATGCATTCATCACAGGTTTTTTGGCAGTGTGCCTCGGATATATTATGCTATCCTTGTTGGTTCAGTAGGTCATACAAGCTCTAGGACACTACAGTGGCTAGAAATTTAGGGACCTGAGTCTGTAGCTGTAAACTGTTCCATAGCTGGCAGTTTCTCTGTAAATTCATCCCAACCCTTGGGCAAATAGAGAATGGGCACTCAAGAAGAGTGGCATATATCTGTAAGTCCAGTACTGGAAAGGGTGGAGGGGGATAACAGGCATGAGAGGGTCATGAGTTCAAAAGCAGCCTTGGACAGTGTTTCAAAAAAGCAAAGCTGAGTGACAGTTGGTAGTGAGTTCACACAAAGGCCAGAATGATTCAAGGCACAGTAAAGACCCACTGACAGTACCCAGATTCCATTCCTCTTCTTTCTTTTGTGGTGCTGAGGATGGAACTGAGGGCCTCATGCATGCTAGATGAGCAGTCTTTCGCTGAGCTCCATCCCCTATCTGGATGTCCCATAGGTAGGAGAAGATGGTCAGAGCTGCACTAAGTTTTGTGCTTCCCTGTCATTTGGAGCTGGAGGTGTTACAGTAGGAACACTGGCAAGTGGCTTCTGGACCAAGAGTCACCCCTTTGGAGTCTGAGACCTGAGACCTTCTGAGGTGGGAGGAGACAAACCAGCAGAGTTCCAGTGACTTCCATCCCCAACTTAGACCCCCTTCTCTTTTTAAGTAGGGCTTCATGTAGTCCAGGTTGGTCTTGCATTCACTATGCAGTTGAGGCTAGCCTTGAATTCCTGACCCTCCTGAGCCAGCCTCCTATGTGCTGGAATTACAGGTGTACACTATCATGCCTGGTCCTGGAATAATCCCTAGTGACCAGGAATCAAGGTCCAGAGTTGGAGAAGCAGATACATACAGCTTAGTCCTGAGAAGTTACTTTACTGCTGTAGGTTTTTATATTACTGTTCGGTGGCAGCAGTTCTCAACCTGTGGGTTACAACTCTTTGGGGCATCAAATGACCCTTTCACAGAGGTCACATATCAGATATCCTACATATCAGATATTTACATTACAATTCATAGCAGTAGCAAAATTATACTTCTGAAGTAACAATGAAATAATTTTATGGTTGGAGGTCACCACAACATGTGTTAAAAAGTAGGAGCATTAGGAAGGTTGAGAACCACTATTCTAAGGCAACAGGTAGGGTTCATGTCATGTAAGAGACCTTAAGCAGAAAGAATACATGGACCACCCTGGACTTTGGACAAATATTTCTGATGACCATATCTGGCCATCTATGATGATACAACCATGTTCGACTCTGTCATTCCAGAACCCCTCCTCTCTGTCCCTACTGTCCTCTTCCAGACTATGAGAGACAGAATCTGGGCTAACTTATCTGTTCATCATCTCAAACACCACCATTCTCCTGTACATGGCCAAACACTACCATTCAACACAGTGGAGATAGACCTGGAGACATCATGACAGAAGCCTGCTTTCAGCGTTGCTCTAGCTAGCCAGAAATCCACTTTGCTGTGATTTAGTCCACATCCCTCACATCCTTGCTCACTATCCAAAATGAAGACCTTTGCCCTCAAGGCAAAGAAATGGTACCACTTTCTCCTGCTTAAGGTTTGCTGTGTTCAGGCCATTATCCACCCTTGACAAAACACCTCTTTGGAAGCTTCTATTTCTCACATGGGCCATAAGGGAGGTTGGCCCCTGGTCCTTACCACCTATTGCTACTCTGGTTCTTTTTTCCTTGCTTTTTGGAGATTCTGTCTATGGTCTTTGTCTTTCCCCTACACTATCTGGTTCTGAAGTCTGACTCTGCAGTCTGCCCTCCATATGACCTTGCCTAGCCTTCTGGAGGCCTGGTGGGGATTATGTTCTATTATCTGCCTGATAAATTCTGTTCTTCCTTCCAGAGTCATCCAAGAGGTTGTGTCTATGGGGACGCCTACAGTCTCCTGGAAGTTTGTAGGTCCCCCTCTTCTGGGCTTTTACTGCACTGCAACCATACCTTCATGTTTGTAGCTTTGGCACTGCATTGTATTGTTCTGTTTGTATGTGCTTTCCCACTAAACTGCGGGTTCCTAAAAGCATAGGCCCCAGATTTCATTTCTTAATTCTCAGAGCTACCCATAATACTGGGAGTAGAGATTCCACAAATACTTATTGGATGGCTGGATAGACAGATGTGCATCTATCTGCAAAGCAGTGCAAAGCAGATATTCCTGTGGAAGTCTGCTTGGTGAATTGGTGTTGAGGCATTAATGCAAGTTCTTAGATACTTTCACAGTAGTAAAGTTTTTACTATTGCCCTTTCATAATGTTTCGTTCCCAATTTTGACAAGAAATAGAATTAGGTTAAATTTGTAGGCATCGTATAATCAGGCTGCAAAACAATGTCACCCTTAGACATTTTACTTCTCACTTCATCCATTTCTTCCTCTGCCGGTCTTACTTTCAATATACATCCAATGCCCCAATGCCCACTATGCAGTTGAAAATGAGGCCCACTGCGACTTTGTGAAGCTTCGGGAGATGCTGATTCGGGTCAACATGGAGGATCTGAGGGAGCAGACCCACGCCCGGCACTATGAATTATACCGCCGCTGTAAGCTGGAGGAGATGGGCTTCAAGGACACCGACCCTGACAGCAAACCGTTCAGGTACCTTTTATTCCAGGTCAGGTCAGCCTGGCCTAACTCAGGAAGCCTTGCCCTGAAGAATCAGCAGGGGAAGTGAGGCTTGGAGATTAGCTAGAGAGCCCAAATTACTCCTAGATCACTAGTGCTGCTTGAGTGTTTCCTCTCTGCCACAACAGTTGCCACCCTGCTTAGACACACAGACAGAGAGAGGGAGGGGCCTGGAGCAACCACTCCGCTGACCACTGACTGCTTTTAGACCCTCCCTAGTCAGCCCTGCTCACATAGACTCAGTGTTAGGGCTTTGTTCTACTGGGTGGCAGTTAGGAACTGCCCTCTGTTCCCACTTTCTTCATCTGGCTCTCATATTGCTTAAGACAACTTCCCAATATGTTCTTTCCCATCTTCCCCGTTCTCAAAACCAGATAGGAAAAAGTCAGGCATAGTGGTGCATGCCTGGAATCCCAGCACTGGGGACGCTGAAGCAGAAGGATGGCCATGAGTTTGTGGACAGCTTGGGGTACCTAGCAAGCAAGTACTGCACCAGTCAAGGCTACATATCAAGAACATTCATTTTTAAAAGAAGAATAAAAAAATAGGGAAGCTGGGTATATGATTTGGTAGTAGTGTTCGCCTAGCATGCACAAGCCATGAGTTCATCCCTAGTACCAAATAAATAGAGAAATTAAAAAAAAAAGGTCCAAGAAGCAGTCACTTGGCTTGTATCGGTGACCTACATGATGCTCTCTCTTTCCCCACTGCCTTAGCATTTGAGTGTGAGTTTTGTTTTGACTACTGACAATGAATAATCACTGGTGTTTTCCTCAGATCAGGATCTAAAGTGCTTTTCATTATGCAGGTGGGAGCCATAGACCAACGAAAGCATCTGCTCTGTATATACAATATGCGTCATTAGCCTTAGCCCTGAATTTTGAATTACCATGTGTTGCCCTTTACTGTGGCTCTATCTCCTTTCAGGAAATGTCAGGCATCTGTGAGCAAGCCATGGGGGGCATATCTGTGGGAAGAAAATGCTTTCAAATGGCCCCTGGGATCCCACAGAACCTGTTTATAGCAGAGAGGGGGCCTAGGACACCATACAGGCCGTCCTTTAGGGAATGGCTACTTTAGGAATGGCAGCTTACCACCCCTCTGGGGACAGGCAGGTCAGGGTCCCAGAGCTCCTGAAGTGGAAGGAGCGGAGTTTGTATCTCTGATGGAAGCTCCTCTGCTTCTCTCCTTCACCTCCACAGCTTCCATCTGCATCCAGAAGGAGGTGTGCCTCTTCCTGGCCACTTAGTCCTGGCCTTTCTCTCCTCCCCCTATCCTTAATATCTGTTCCTGCCTCTTCACCCTCTTCACGATCTTCCACCACCACCTGTCCACCTTGCTTGTAAATGCTGCCCCTAACGAAGTTCTTTTTTAGCCCCACTCTTCCTTGCCAGTTTCTCACCTGTTTGTCTCTGATAGGAAGGAAACATTTCTGTAGCTCCTGTTCCTCTTCCTCCTCTCTCACTTCCTCAGCCCACTACAATCTGGCTTCTGCCTGCCTCCAGCTCGCTACAAAATTCTCTCCAAGGTCTGCAGTTGTGGATTGGGGGCCAGTTTCCTTGTAGCTTGATTTTTAGCTTTGATTTTAATGTGAAACATTAATTTAGCTTGAGCCGCCCTCTGCCTTCAGCTCTTGAAGTATTGGTGCAGCCAGTTTTATCTCTCTCCCTCTGTCTTCTCCTTGCTCTTGCTTTCAAGCTCCTTTTCTTCAGCTTCCTCCTCTAAACATTGGTGCTCCCTCAGGATTCCTTCCACATCCCTCTGCTCTTTCACACTCCCATCTCTTTGTGCTGGTTCTTTCTATTCTCACAGCCCTGATTACCACCAAGATATCGATAAATCCAAACCTAAACCTTTACCATTGAGCTCTGAACCTATTGATGCAATTACACCCTGGACATTTCACTCAGACGTTCTATGGCTGCCTGATGTGAAGCACTAGCGGTCTGCTGTCTAATCCTTCTTCTTCTTCCTCCTCCTTTTCCAGCATTTCCTGCTGCTGTTCATGTTCTACCATCTATATAGTAGCCCAAGGCAGAAACTTTTTTTTTCTCTCTCTCTCTCTCTTTTTTTTTTTTTTTTTTGAGACAGGGTTTCTCTGTGTAGCCTTGGCTGTCCTGGAACTCACTCTGTAACCAGGCTGGCCTCGAACTCAGAAATCCACCTGCCTCTGCCTCCCAAGTGCTGGGATTAAAGGTGTGTCCCACCACTGCCCAGCAAATCAGATTCTTTTAGAGGTATATTAAGAGAGCTTATTGTAGATCATAAGCACTAAGATTCAAAGAAAGATGCTTGGGAAGAAAGTAAGACACACTTAAGAGAGTAGGTAGGTCTGAGCAGGGAGAGCTGCCATGAGTCAGCCTTGATTTTCCCCCAAGTCCTGAGAATTCTACAGCCCTACTGTTGCTCCAGCTCTCTCCATTTGCTGCCAGCCTTTAACACGAGGAGCCTTCCGTTTCATACTTGAATTGCTGGAAAGTTTCCTTCCTAAAATAGTCAAGTGGACTTTCTCATGTTCTGACTGATGGATACATGTCCACTTTTTAAACGTGGCACCCAAAGCCTGTCCTCTTTTTCCAGACTCAGGAACCTCCCCTCTTACTCCTCCATGGTTCACATGATGTCCCCAGGCCTGTTCAAGTATGGCCACATCCCCAGGAACACCAGTCTTCACTTGTCTTCTGTCTTTGGAGCACTGGCCTTTGCCAATGCTGACTCCTACTTTTTAAAAAATAAGTGCAGGTCAGGGGCAGTGTTCTTGACCTGGGCATCTCCCATTACACCCTAAATTCCTTTAGGACAGGCATGGTGGCTCTGGGCTCTAGATGGTGAGCAGCTAACATCATGTCTATTCACACCGGTCACATAGGTGGTAGGTAAAGTCTCAGCAAATGTTCAATGAAGTGGTAAATCAGTGTGGTCAGTCTCAGAGCCAGGGCCTTGCAGTGAAGGGTAGTGTAGGGCAGTGGGAGGCGAGCAGTGGGAGCCCTTAAATGGAGACAGGAGACTCAGCTTCTGGTGTCAGCTCTGCCTCTAACTAGGTATGTAATCTTCAGAGACTCACTTCTCCTTTATGAGCCACCGTTTCCTCATTTGTACGAGAGAGAGAGAGAAAGGGAGGGGGGGAGAGGGAGGGAGAGGAGGGGGGGGGGAGGGGGGGGGAGGGGAGGGGAGGGGAGAGAAGGAGGCCCCTCTAGTAGCTCTGTAGTATATTGCTGTTGTATACCAAGAAGCCAGCTGTCCCACCCCAGCCCCACCCCTTTGTGGTTCTCTCTTTACATTTCTCTGTCAGAATTAGGGAAAGGAGGATGAGGGAACTCGGAGAAGGTGGTTGGGGCCCATTTTCTTGACCAGGGGTTGCCCCAGAGGCAGTGGAATTGACTTGATCATATCTACAGTTTACAGGAGACATATGAGGCGAAAAGAAATGAGTTCCTAGGAGAGCTCCAGAAGAAAGAAGAGGAGATGAGACAGATGTTTGTCCAGAGAGTCAAAGAGAAAGAAGCCGAGCTCAAGGAGGCCGAAAAAGAGGTAAATATAACTGTGGACACCAGGCAGCGAGGGAGGAGAGACTGAATGGAGCAGGAGGGGCCTTGACAGAACTGCTAGAAGGTAGAGGAGCTTGTAAGCTCTGGGCAGGCCTCGAGTGAAGTTTGACCAGACAAGGAATCTGATGACATCTGTGTCTTCTTGACCTTTATTTTCTAAGGATGGAACATTTTCTCATTCTGTTCATTTAGAGCCATTGCCATCCAACATGGTAGCCACTAGCTGCAGGTGGGGATTTCTTTCCATTTGAATTAATTAGTTTATTTAGATTTTGAGGTGAGGTTTCTATATGTAGCCTGAGTGGACTAGAACTCACTGTCTAGCCCAGGCTGTCCTCAAGTTTTAGATACTCTTGCTTGAGTGCCATGAGTCTTAGAATTGCAAACATGTATTACAGTGCCCCAAAATATTTTTTAAGTGACAACTAATTGCATATATTTATGGAATATGATATGTAACTTTAGTAAGTGTTTATAGTGTAGAATTATTAAATCAGGCAAATAAATAAGTCAGTCACTTCATATATTTATCTTTTTAGTTCTGTTAAAAACATTTAAAATCTAAGGTGAGTCTGGTCACCAGGCCTATAATCTCAATATGGAAGAGCAAAGCAGGAACACAAGCTTAAGGCCTGCCTGGGCAACTTAATGAGATGCTGTCTCCAAATAAGAAAAGTTGTAAGCGGGCTAAGAGTGTACCCCAGTGGTAGAGCTCTTGTATAACATACTTGGGGCCTTAGGTTCAAAATCCTCAATACTGCTGGGAATTGGGGCCTTTAAAAATCTATTCTTAGCCATTTTTAAATTCACAATAAATTGTAAAGCTTAGTTCCTCTC